GTTAAGGTTGTGGAGCTTAAAATAGACTTTAATAAAGTTTCCAATGGGAAACTCGTCCTATTGCACAGGACCTCAATGGAAACTAGGAACTCTAATACTCAATGTTAATGTTCACTCCTGTCATCAGTAAAATGCTCTTGTGTACATAACTCTCAAATCGCGTCGAAATCGAAATATTTCATGTAGAATTTTTCACACGGGTCGAAAGTGAATCCCACGTAACAGTGATTAGCGAGTTTCAACCTACAGAAGCAGTGCTACCTACAACGACAAGGTCATAAATTCTGTACACCTCGCGGACATCATTTGTGGTAGAAGCGAGAGTGCGTTGATCTATCTCGCAGTTCAACTTTAATTTGACGACCTTATTTGCGTTTCAACGCTTTTATTATGTGTTAATGCACCGGTGAGTTATCAAGATATTTAAACGTATATTTAAAAGGTCAAATCTTATATATTAAAAAAATTTGGTTTTTCTTTTCCGAGTTCGTTTGGCTCTTCTACCCGACCGATTTTCATGATTGAGGTCTCAAATTGAAGCTATGCACGCACAGATTTGCCATCAAGCATCGGCATATAATTATCTATAGTATCACTCGGTTTATACGTAAACAAAATTTGCTCCCCATGTATTTCTTATGGGAGTTAAATTTGGTTTTTCTTTGCCGAGTTCGTTTGGCTCTTCTACCCGACCGATTAACATGATTGAGGTCTCAAATTGAAGGTATGCACGCACAGATTTGCCATCAAGCATCGGCATGTATTTATCTATAATCCCACTCAGGTTATGCGTAAACGAAATTTGCTCTCCATGTATTTCTTATGGGGGTTAAAGTTGGTTTTTCTTTGCCGAGTTCGTTTGGCTCTTCTACCCGACCGATTAACATGATTGAGGTCTCAAATTGAAGGTATGCACGCACAGATTTGCCATCAAGCATCGGCATGTATTTATCTATAATCCCACTCAGGTTATGCGTAAACGAAATTTGCTCTCCATGTATTTCTTATGGGGGTTAAAGTTGGTTTTTCTTTGCCGAGTTCGTTTGGCTCTTCTACCCGACCGATTAACATGATTGAGGTCTCAAATTGAAGGTATGCACGCACAGATTTGCCATCAAGCATCGGCATGTATTTATCTATAATCCCACTCAGGTTATGCGTAAGCGAAATTTGCTCCCCGTGTATTTCTTATGGGAGTTAAATTTGGCTTTTCTTTGCCGAGTTCGTTTGGCTCTTCTGCCCGACCGATTTTCAATATTGAGGTCTCAAATTAAATGTATGCACGCACTGATTTGCCATCAAGCATCGGCATAAATTTATCTATGATCCCACTCTGCTTATACTTAAACAAAATTTGCTCCCTATATATTTCTTATGGGAGTTAAATTTGTTTTTATTTGCCGAGTTTGTTTGGCTCTCCTACCCAACCGATTAACATGATTGAGGTCTCAAATTGAAGGTATGCACGCACGGATTTGCCATCAAGCATCGGCATGTATTTATCTATAATCCCACTCATGTTATGCGTAAACGAAATTTGCTCTCCATGTATTTCTTATGGGAGTTAAATTTGGTTTTTCTTTGCCGAGTTCGTTTGGCTCTCCTACCCAACCGATTTTCATGATTGAGGTCTCAAATTGAAGGTATGCAAGCAATGATTTGCCATCAAGCATTGGTATGTATTTATCTATAATCCCACTCGGCGTATACGCAAACGAAATCACTCCCCATGTATTTCTTATGAGAGTTAAATTTGGTTTCTCTTTTCCGAGTTCATTTGGCTCTTCTACCATTTCCCACCATTTCTACCATTTTCATGATTTAGGTCACAAATTGATGCCATGCACGCAAATATTTCACATCAAGCATCTGCATATATTTACCTACTGTATTACTCGACTAAAAAACATAATTTGATTATTTTCGAATTCTTACACCAATTTAATATGTATTTTACCAGTTATAATTAAATACTATATATTTTGGTCTAAAAACTTTCAGTGAAATATCGTCTTTCATTTAAGCGATTAAGATACTGTATTATTCAATCACAAATCATAAATTTGATTATTTCTCGCATATGATATTATATTTATTTTAACGCTGCGGAGCAGCATGGGTCCTCTAGTCTAATATTTAAACGTTTTTAAATTATTTAAAATCTAAATGTTAGTAGCCTTTGGCAATTCGATTGCAATTAAGCAAAGTTTCTGCTCGCCGAAACTGGAGAAGCATTTATTCCAAACTTAAGGGTGACTTTTGGAAAACAAAGTCTGTGGTCAGAGCATGTGAAATTCAAATCTCTCTGCATAGAGTCTCTCACAGAGGTACTGAGGCCCAGCAATAAAAATAGTAAAATTATCTTCGGAAACGTGTAAATATGTTAACATTATACCGATATACGCGTTGCCATTATTTCGTATGGTTTTGGTCATTCGAGCCGGATTTTAATTTCATCAATAACTTCTTGATCAGCAATGTTCTAGTTTAATTTCATCACGCACATTAGGATACTTTCATTATGTGCAATGTCATGTTTTCGAGTAGGACATTCATCTAATTTAACAGTCAACATAGACTTAACAATTGGATATCCTTATTACACAAGAACGATCGTGAAAATACCACCGCAGGACGTTCTAGTTCTCTACATCCCGGTCTCTTTACTGCTCCAGAATCCTGAATGGATCGACCATGACGACGTCCGACCGCGTGCGAGTGTCCTATGTGGCGGAATAACAGGGGAAAGCCATCCACTGTAGAATGTACGTGTAGAATGTAGAATGTACGACAGTTGGAGACCTAGGGATGTACTCGCTGGACCATTCAAGCGTAACTACCGTGTAAATAGCGTTTACTGTCCCAGGGGATCCACTATAGCAGAATACTTCTTACTTTGAGGTGAATACATTGTGATTGATGGTAGTCAGAGAGAAAGATGTAGCTAATGATAAGAATGATGAAATCATTGTTTCCAAATGGTTTTAACTTAGGTAGACCTACCGAGGAGTCCGCAAAGAGTGTGTTGTTAAAATAATTCAAATTCTGCCTGACACAATAACATTATGTACCAAACTAAAAACTAGAACATCTACTAAAATTTGGCGTCTTTTATGTCTATGTTTCTTTGGAAAAGTAGGAGATAAAATTTAAATATTCATTCAAGAGTAGCATATTCTACGAGAGGCTTATTCAACTATCAACTATGTTCTATTTGAGAATAACATTATCAAAACCTGGTCCACATGAGATTGATTCAACCAAACCTTCAAACAAAAATTCTATCCAGCATGGTATGTTTAGAATCTTGTACAAAAGCAGTCTCTCTAGCCAATATTCCCGTGCCAAACCATGACCCGGTTCTTCGCCAATCGATATCGAACGTTTCCTCCATCGGATGATTCAGTTACCGGATATCAGCACAGTTATTGCAACTATCCGGCATTTAGGGTTCTGAACGGTTAAACACCAAGGTTCATAATTGCAGCCGGTTCGCCATTATTTGGGTCACTGGGAATCATGCATCAGAGCGCTCAGATGCGCTTTTAAATAGTGTTCATGTAAGATGGGTATGAAACAAATGGGTTAGGCTAGAGCAATGATGTAAAGAGCTACTGAGTTGTTTATATCGTTGGGCTAGAGCAGTGTATCAAGATTAAAGTTAAAAGTTGGTAAAGGGAACTTATACTGTAAAATGTATATTTTCAAAATTAAAAAGATTCAAACAATTTCAATGTGACAATTTATAAAACGATTCATGACAATCTGGGGTTGAGTATGATTAGGTAATGTGTATTTATAATATTGACAAGAGTTGGATTGGATCATTTCCGTTGTTGCCTCCACTTTTGGATCTCAAAAAGTACAAAGCATTGTCTTCGGGTACTCTTTCTTTCCCAGAAAAAAGTCTTGCAAGTGAAATTTTGACCTATTGAGGTGTTAACCTTCTGAAAATGGGCGGATCGAAAGTTCAAACCATTTTTTAGACTTGAGTAATAATACACAACTTGTAGGTAACATCGTGTATACCACTTTACACACTTCGCTTGCCCACATGAATCCCTCGTACCGTTAGTGTTGTCACTATCAGCTGATTCCTCACTACGGATAACACTCTAGTGATAACAGTGGAAGTGATCAGCTGGACATTGTGCGTGTGCGATGAGGCGCGAAATTAGAACTACACTGTGTGTTATAGAGGAGGCCATGTGGTAACTAGTTCATGTTGTGGTAAATTGAAGCTACTGGAGATTATGAGGGCTCTTGAGCCAAACTTTCTTGTGGCCTGGAGGAGAGAATGCCTTTGAGGAGCGGCAGTCTTCAAAAGCCAACCATCTAAGCTCAAAATTCTAAGATCACGTCACGTCAAAGAACCCAATTTTCAAAAACTTTAATCGAAGTTAAGGCAGTTGTGATACTCTAGTTTTTTATGATGTACTACTTCAGGATTTTTGGTGTGTCTAGAGACCAAACGAAATCGTAAAATGTTGGACTATGAAATCTCTTAATTTACCCTAAGGATGGACTCACAATTTCTTAATAACAACAATGACTTTCCTTGGTATAAGAACGTCAAGAGTCGTTGGATTTTTAGAATCTTGAAAGAAGGGTCCTTCTGAGAAAAAGAGTTTTTCAAAAAGGCATTTGACTCCCTCTGAAGAAGGAATATTCTTGAGAAGAATGACTTTTCTCAGAAAGAAGCCCACACAGGATCTTAGGAATCTGAGGATTTCGAGGGTCCCGTAAAAAGACCGTGAAAGATGTCTGGTAATGGTGTCTGATGAGGGTGGTTTACATTAAAAGAAAGGCCTGTCTGAAGAGGAAAGAGAGCAAGTGCTTTACGGGTACCAAAGATTCTTTTGGGATACTCCAAGTGGAACCCAATCGGGTAAACAACCAAGTACAGTATATGGATATCATTGTTGCCGCCATTGTAAACTAGACCAGTGACGTTAAATAAACTCATAATACACTTGAACAGAAAGGAATTCGAGCCTTACCTTCCCAGCTATGACAGCTTGCACTGTGAGCACCTGCGCAGGTTTGTGATACTCCAAGACCTCTCCCGGCAGTGCATGACCGACTCCTGGATCGAACCATACCAGCTCTCCCTGAAACACGAATGATAAGTAAGAAATTAATTAGTGCATGAAACAAATCTGACCTTTTTAAGAAGTAATAATTGTATTGCGTTGAGACCCAACTGGACGTATACGGCCACAATTTTACTCTTTTCGACAAATAAACGCTTTTGTGGAGGTTACCTTTTGAAACATTAGGTTTGGAGATTGACTGGATTTTTAACCTAGGAAGTAAGCTTGTAACTAATTATTGGCTCTAGATGCTGTTTTTTTTTTAGCCGGTTGATGTCCACTTCACCATACAAACTCAATGATGATATCTACAATTTGTAAGAAGTCTTCGAAGTGATCAAAATAATGTAAGTTGGTCCTGAAATGCTGCTACAATATGTCCAGTATGATGTTAAGCTTTCCTTAAATGTTTTCTTGGTAGTATAACAGTTATATCTTTACACTCACTTTTATTTGTGTAGTTGTCTCACCACAACTATTTACTACTATGTATGACAAAACCTGTCTCCTGACTGCCAGTCTCTGGTGGATGAAGGGTCGGGAGACAGGTCCCATCATACAGACTATAGAAGAGACATTTCTATATCAATCCCATTCACCATATTTGCATTTAATCTCGTATCTTTGTTCTTTTCCCATGGTCAGACAGAGAAAGTACTCGTGGACTACGGTCGGTGTCGGAAGAACCATAAACTTTCTATAAAAAGCGTTACCTTTCTCTGTACATACTCTCTAGATAATTACGACGAATAGGCATACTCGCCTAATACCGATGGTTAGCATTATAACTATATTAGAGGCTTGAACTTTCAAGTCTGCGATTATGCTAACGAAACATCCACTTAGTGATGTCCTTAAATAGACCGAACAAGGCTTTTATGTATAGATATGTAAATAGTAAAGTTAACAGGGTTTACTTGGATTGATTTGATTACTCCTAGAGATGCATACAACAGCAAGACGAGCATATTCTGAAGTTGGAGTAATATATTGGTGTGAAATATCACTGGCTGTTATCCTTCGGGCCTGGATTCAAATCCTAACAATCGCCAATTGATAAAGCCACGTGATAATTCCATAGGCTAATGGTTTCCATTATATTGCCACCCGATTCTAAGAGGCTTTAGTTGGTTAAATTTCTGTTTAAAATACGTTCAAAACAAGTATGTAGTGATCGATGTTTATAGTTTTGTACTCCGCACTGTTTTTTTGTTTGCAATCTACGATACTTTTTCATCCTGAAACTAGCAACAACTTTAACTTTTGAATGTGTACTAACATCAGTGAATTGGTACTTTCCTGTTAAAGGAACATTCATTATTATCGATGATTTCTTTCCGATACATCGATATTCTATTTTTGATCCGATAATGAACGAGATGTCAGCTGACAACTACGATAAGTAAATATTGATCAGTATTAACAAACAATTTAAAAATATTATATTGAAATGAAAATGTTCTTAACTAACCTTACCAAACCAACCAAACTTGCTGTAAAATTTCCAAATTCCGTTTCATATTACTCTCATGCCTTTTCTGTTAACAAACGAAATTTTTAAATGATACAGCAAACCCAGCAAGTTTGGTAGGTTATGTTAGGTTAGTTTAGAACAGTTTTACTTATTTATGTTTTGCCTAAACAAGATCATTCAGTTATCAATTTGTAATTTAAATGTGTTTGAAGATATAAAAACAGAAGGTATGGATCGTAAAGGAAAACAAAAATATCGATATATCGAAAGAAATCAGGTCGATAATAATGAATGTTCCCTGTAACAGGAAAGTGCCAGTGAATTTATACTTAAAACCGCTATGCATTACACTGCAGCTGAGTACACGAAATTGCATTGCAGACGACTCAATTTCATTTAATTTACCGTTGCAATTGCAATCGGCTCTATGATTGCATTCTGAATAGAACTGTTATCAAGGAAATTGCATCCCGATCTTTCCGCATCAACACGTATGAAAACCGTACTTTGCGCTGAAAGTGTTATGCATATAGATTTATCGACTTCAAAATATAGAGCTGGTCCAAATATGGGTGTCAACTACAGTATACAAAATTAATGTATCTAAACTTTCAACCAACAATCCACTGAGCATTTTGTATTGAGACTCTTCTGCAGAAGCAACCTCATTAATATTCTTTTATTTATGGCGATCGTTCCAAGAAGGTAGCTCCAAAAGTATAAAAAAAACCAAATACTTTATACCTGCACACTTTGACATAATCAACCACCGATGAAAAACCTTTAAACCTCGATTCCGATGGATAAGGGAATTTAACGTTTTGTGGCCTGATGATGTACTCGAGTGCGAAACAGGACTAACCAATTTCAAAGGATCGTTTGACACTAGAATAGGTGCATTACTTAACTTTTCTAAACCTTTTACAACTGTAGAACTAACCGGTCTAAGTTGCAGCGAAGTCTCGTCGTATCCCGCGATACTCCTCGGCCTCTGGGTGACCATGACCACAGTGTTGGTCTGTCCATGGTCCGTCACAAGGGAAGCGGTCACCTTATACACCGGGGTCTCCGGGGACGATCGCGTCCTAAACCTTGACTTGGCCTTGAGATCAGCTGATCCCTCAGTCTTGCTTCTTCTTCTCCCCGTGCACAGTGATGCCAACCCAACCTTACACCCGGGAGGGGGTGATTCACTGGTGTTGACGTTGTATCTTCCCCTGACGACTCCCAGTTCACTCCACCCCCTACGGAGACGGAACCTTCTGGGCTTCTCGGGCGGGAGGGGAGTGCTGGGTGCCCAGAAATGGGAGAGTTCTAGGGACAAGTCCATTTCAGCCGGGAGTCACTTGATGAGTGGGCATTTCTTTATGAAAGGTGGTGTATTTTAGGGTGTTAAATTGTTTACGGGTTGTGATCGTTGCTACATCTTTTGGGTTAAGTAAATTTCCTCTATTTACTACATAGTTTAATTTTTAGAGGTTTTACGTGTTTAAAATAGACTAAGTGAAAGAATCTGAATAAAATCGAGTGAGTAAACATGAATGAAAATTGTGATTGGATAATCATATGAAATCTATTATTTGTTAAGCTTGTATGATCCCTTCACCTATTATGTATTCGAAATGAGACTGAGCACGTTTATAACTACTAGCCTGACACCTAAATCCCCCTTAGTCGATTTCAAACTTAATCACAAAATAAACAACTGACGGTGCAAATTTCACAAAATCTCCATACTCTGGTTTCACTCATCTTTGAAACACTTCTCAACCAACAAACTTCGCAGATTTAGCAACATCATATCACTTCACTTGTTGCTACACACTGTTGAATATGCCGATTCTCTCCATCGCGTTCCAAAACTTCACTAACCACCAAACTCAAAGACGTTTTCATCCAGTTTTCCACGGACGTACAGACCGTATAGCACCCACGGAAGCACCTGAGTCACTGGCATAAACGGTATCTCCACAGACGAAACGCATCCTCGCACATTGTTAATTGTTGTGACGCAACAATGCCTACACTTCCGGTCTACAGCTACAGTCCTTCCGGTGAAGAATGGTCCTTACACCCACATCATGGTTGACTTGTCCGAACAAAAAGAATCTGTGGTTGGTGGTTCAGTGAGTTTGCATCCTTTGAAAGTGACTTTTAGAAGTTCTTGGGATTTATTATTCGCAGTCAGATATTCCTCGGGTGAGAAAAATGTTTCTTTCAATTAGATGTTATTAAGTTAGCTCTTGTCACCTTTATTCTCGCTGACACTATTTTGCAAGTTAGCGTATTTGTATGGTAAAGGGTGCTTGAAGAAGGAGGTTCACATAGACAAACACAGTAACACCGGTCTAAACGCTTGGTTTGGGAATTTTAGCTTTCCTTATTTACTTTGGTGTCATTTGAAGAAAAAATATTCTATTTAGAAAGTGAGTTTCCATATAATTCTTGGTGAAATTTAAGGTACTTCTAGAATAAAGCATTCAGGATGATTATCCAGTCGCTGAGAAAGGTACAGATGGTACACACATAAACCAAGCAGGTATTTTAAGCCAAGTATGAATGGAGTTGAGTGTAGGATGAGTGGCACGATCTTGTAGTCTTGTTAGTGACTAAGACCGACATATTCCATAGACACAGCTGTTAGCCCATACAGCTAATGGCAACTAATATACAGTTTATAGTGGGATCCGAACCACATTTTTGCGTTTTGTCTAATTATCAAGATAGTACTGCGGATAGTCGTAGTACTCACTACTGCTGACGTTAATCCACACCAAGTAGTATCGCATCCACAGTGAATGCCTATAAATGTCCACAATTCATGCTCTCCTAGTAGCTGGATTGCAGGACGACGCCACCGTCCCAGTCGTTGGCATGACAAACAAACCTTCCCAATATGAACTCAAATTGGGAACAATTTTGATCATCGCGAATAATGAATAATTTAAAAAACATCTTCATAGACTGTCATAATTTAAACACTGGAACATGTAATGCTGGTGATTTTGTAATTTACAAAATTGTAGAGTGGAAATGAAAACCGGGTTAAGTGCCAAAAACATCTTTTTGAGTTATTGCAAAAAATATCAATAAAACCATTACTGTTAATTTTTTTTATACCAGATTATTTACAGTAGCTACAACAAAAGATGAGTAATCATAATTTTATGAAACAACTCTTTTTAAAAGTCACTAATAGAATTTATAAATTTTTAAAGTTACACATTTGAGACAAGGAGTATGTCCATATTCATAGTGGTGAAAAGCGAGCTAAGTACCTATACTTCAAAACCATAAAACGGGGTATGTGCAGAGTTAGTAAACATAAAAGATTCAAAATATTTTAACATTTCAGACGGGTAAAATATAAATTAAACAAAATAATATTGAAATCAAGTTTTATTATCATAAAACATCATAAAACCCGTAAGAAACATGAAAGGGTAAACGACAAATGTGTTGGTTTTAGGTATAAAAATTTAACAGTTAACTCTCTGTAAAAGTGTTTACATATTCCTCCTTCAGAAATGGTATCATATTCTTA